AAGAAAACCCGGGGTCATTTAGTACGGAGGAAACCATTCAAACCGTGAAAGAAACAACTAGCAGAGAGAAGATTTATAGTTAGGGAGCACAACTGAACGGGGGTCAACTAGCAGAAACCATTTAGGAACTCAAAAACTACTGATTTCTGACCACCCAACCCAACTTTTCGTACCTTCCGTATCCTAAAACTTGTCCAGTTCTTGCTGCCTATAGGTGACCAGTTGTTCCTCTCCCCGTGCGAGCCCCTCGAAACCGGTGGAGGAACCTAGCCGGTGCGCCGAAGCCCATTAGAAAAAGTGGCCATTAAGTGGATTTGTGGCCGGCAATAAGCCCGGAGGAGGGCCTCCTCCATTCCTATACCCTGTGGCCCATCATTTGGCCCTGGCCCTGTGGCCCCCGTTCAACCTGTTGAGGGTCCAAACACACACGCATGAGGAGGAGGAAGTTTAACGATAATGGCTGGCAAATCGGGGGTTTAAAGGGACTGGGAAGTTAAGAAAAAGACCATAGTAAAATTGGCAAAAATCGTGAAAAAGGAAAACCAGAAATCCATAAACTTTTTAGACACACGCCAGCATGAGGATGTTTAACTTGAACGCCCGAGCCGGCAAATGGATTGACAGGAGCTAAAACGCCGGATAAAAACCGGAAAATCGGCTGAAAATACAAGTTAAAGATTTTAATGGCACCGAAAACTAAAAAAGCGACATTTCGAGAACGGAAAACTTTGTATGGACATTTTAAAGGTGTTTAAAAGTTAAATTGTTCAGGGAAACTTTTCAAAAAGACCAAAACATTTATGGGTTTTAAAGGAAGCAGGACATCAAAAGAAACTACATATACATCTTAGAAATATTTAAAAAAATGGAGACATTCAAAATGCCAGGAAAGTCCTAAAATGCTCAAAAATCTTTGTTTTTGTGTCTTTTCAAGGGGCCCATAAATCACGAAAATTTTGTGAAAATTGGGATACAGAAGTTTGTAAAAAAATTCTGGTAATTTCAGGTGATCTAGAAATAAAAAATAATGCATTAACAGGTGGTAGCAAACTGGAAATTTTTTAGCGAATTATTAAATATAAAAATATCACGAAATCTAGAAGAAAAAGACGGAAAATTTTAAAGAGGCTAGCAAGGAAAACGCAAATCCGTGGACCAAAAAATTCAATTTATTGAGTTGTGTATAGTACAACGATTTGCGATAGCAATACCCAACAAGAAAACCCAAAAAATGCCTGCTGAACGCCCGATGTCGATGGGCGGCTTAACCGCCGAGCGTCCCGGGGCCCCCTAGGGCCAAAAATGTTCAAATGGCCCGCCGGCCCCGAAAAAACGACGAGCGGTTGGGGCGGAGGGGGAGGCCGGGCGAATGAAAGGGCCCACATAGGGCCAAGGTACCTAGCCAGCCAACCCAAAAGCCTTATGCCCTAAAGGCCCCACTTATTGCCCGGGGGCCTTTAGGGGCCCAGTCAGCCAGGCAGAGGCTCTGGGAACACGATGATGATAGGGGTGAGGTGGGTGCAGAAAGGTGAAAAAGTTGGGGTAGATGCGGAAAAAAACAGAAGTAGATCCAAGGCACTGGAAAGGCAAACAACTGGCGGTTTGCGCCTGGCGACACGCACGCCACTTGAACGTCTTCAAGACGTTGCAACCGATAGCCCGATAGAAGCCCGGCGTGTCGCATTTGCCACACTTATCTCCGAATACCTGGATGGTACCCGCAGCCTACAAATCCTTCGGGATAAATGCGCGCCTTGCTGGGTTCTTTTAAGGGGCAATGAAGACACAAACTCGACCCCTTTCGAAGACTAGGTGTCGACAATTTGGAGCGGCGTCCAGACACGTTCACCTGTTTCTACCAATTTTTTAGGAACCTGCCTCTAAAACAAGATTCAAAGAATACCTTAGCAGCTTTTTCGAGATGTTGCGTATTTGTCGATCCCCCGTTTATTGCCCCTGGTACCTCCGAGTCCCTTTAACAACCGAACAACTGGGATAAAGCTTCATTCTGCAAAAAACGCCTAGCTCCTTCTTCAAAAAAAGACTAGTGCTCAAGGAGCACTTTTTAGCAACATCCCATGTCTACGTAGTCAAATGGTCGACTTGACCCGAACAAAGGAAGGACAGAAGGCGCTTTTTAAGGAGCACCAGGTGGGAGCGTCAGGTCTGCCAGGAAAAAAACCTCTCCTTGGTATTTCTGCGAACATTTTTCGCTGCAATAAATATTCCTGGGGTTCAAATTAGCATCAAACAGTTTGGCGAACTTTTAAAGGTAGCGTACAGTCACGCTGAATTTTCGAAAAGTCGTAAATAATGATGCTGATGTTGCAAAATCCGGTAGAAAAGGAGCCTTGTGGCTTTGCTGCCTACGCAGTCCGAAACACAACAGCTTCCAAGAAAATCCAGAGCCACAAAAAAGATGCTCAAACGCACAAAATTCTTCAAAACCACCCCTCGAAAAAATGGATGGAACCCTGAATACGAAACAATGGGCTACGAAGCCAAGAAGGAAAAGAATGAAACTGATCGCCCTTGGTCCCGTCGCGAAAGAATTGGCCGATGCCGGGGATGCGTACAAATGAGAGGCTGGCGCCACTTTTGGCAATTTGGGGCTGGGGGACCGGGGCCAGGGCCCTGGCCCCGGGCCCCGGTGGGCCTTGGGCTATGCATGGAATCCAGACGCGGGGGGACCACCCCGACAGACCGAAAAGCCGGTGAGAAGCAAAAAAAAGGCTTGGCATAAGTGAGGCTGGCAACTCTAGTTTACTGGGAAATTGTTGACAAAAGATTTTGGTTATCAAGGAGTTAGTTAAATAAAAGTTATTCATTTTTAAAGGGACTCGGAATCGAAGTCGGTTTTTGGACAGAAAAGCCCTTTGAAAGGATTTTTCAAGGCTCTGAAAATTTTTTAAGGGGGAGTGAGACACACTATGCCAAGCAGGCTCCCACATTTTTGAGACCAATTTTTTTTTTGAATGACCGAACAATGTTTTCGCTATTTTTGTCGGGGATTTTGCAATGCCATTCGATGGAGCGTCAAAAAATATACTAAAAATTTTAATTTGAGCTTACAATAATGTAAAATAGAAAAGTTATGGCGAAAACATTCCGGCGGGGGGTGGGGTGGGGGGGTGGCCCAAATCTGCAGTTTTCTGCTCCACAATAAATCTTAAGATTATCAGTTGTTTTTTTGAGGTTTTTCAGTTTGCAGCCTTTATTTGCCTTTTTTCCAGGTGTTACTTTCAAAATCTTCAGCAATATTCAGCTGCACCTCATCCCCTTCTCCTTCTCCCGGTTGGGTATTGGTAGTGTTGGTGTGTCTTGGGGGCTATGTGGGGTGTTGGTTGGAGACGATGAAATATTGTTTGACAAGGATACGCCCGCAGCGGCGGGGCTCGAGTCCTCCACATCGGACTCATGGGAATACTCCCTGCTCGGGCTTTTCTTGAGCTCCAGAAATCCCGTCACTATATCAATGGTCTCAAGGAGATGTTGGGGGGAAATTGGGAATGTCAGGGCTGTTTCAGGGGCTTAAGGGACCGGTAAGGTATGTGATTTTTCGTTGTTGTAGTTTTTGACGCGACGAGCCCGGCCACTTTCTATTACGCCTAAGCTAAGCCTACGCTAAGCCCACCCTAAGCCTAAGCTAAGCCTAAGCTAAGCCCACGCTAAGCCTAAGCTAAGCCTAAGCTAAGCCTAAGCCTCAGCGTAAGAAAGCTTTTTGAGCCTTCAAAAGGGTAAGGAGCTAACTTTCTTTTGTAGGTATAGCTTTATTAAGGTCTCAAGCGTTGCCATAAAACGCACAGAAAAGCTTATACCCCGCAGGTACAGGCTTTAAAGGGCCATCCGGTGAGGCAGGAGCTCCCGTTAATGCGTAGTACATTTTTCCTTTTTGACATCTCATCGAGACTCGGTAGGTGAAGTCCCCATCGATCATGAATGACGTTCCATCGGTGCATCTGAAAATAACCGGATTCTGATTATTTGAAGCTCCCAAAAACCATAATACCAACATTATACAAAATTTAACATTAAAACTTACTCGGATACACATTCCCCACCAATCGCTGTATTTCCCCAGAGCCCGTTCGGGTTCTCGCACAGACTGTAGGTCCACGGAAAAGGATTATCGGTAATTCCGTAGCAAGCATCGCCATTTTCTGGCAATTTTGCGGGCACACGAGTGGGACATCCGTCACAGACTACAATAAAAATCGTCATACCAATAAAGACAACACTAGACGAAACAGAAAGCTAAATTCACCTCCAGCCGCTGCTGCTGTTGTTGTCTCAACTGGAGCTTCGGTCGAATCCTAAAGTTCAAAATTGTCACAACCTCTCTCTTTCTCTCTCTCTCTATCTCTCTCTCTCTCTCTCACTCTCTCTCTCTGTCTCTCTCTCTTCCCCCCACGCTCTCTCTCTCTTAAAATATGCAATGTCAAAGATTCGCAAAAAATACCGGACTCATAGTGGTTGTCGCAGGTGGCTGCATCCGGGCGCAGGCTTCTAGTAATGAGATCGTCGTCGCAACAACGATCAGAAATAATAATCCTTCGGGTTGCCGCATTTTCAGGAAAATTTGGCGTAAAGCTCAAGTTCAAGCTAAAGGACGGCAAGGAGCTCATTTTGCCAAGCGGCTGTCCTATAGCGTCTAGGTCGCATTAGTCCATCAATCTGCTTTCCAAAAACTGACACCTCATGCCTTTTGGAGGCTGATATTTCGATCAGCCGATCGACCTGGCAGCGCGGGTGTTCGTTTTCACGCGCTCTGCCGACGCGGATTTCCGGTTTTCGTAAAATGTTCGCAGCGTTGCGCCATTAATTCGGAATCCAAAAACCGATTCAGATATGCTGCATGCGTGCAGGCTGTCCGGAATTTCAAACGATCCGCTATTAATATGTTCAGGCCTAAGGATATATATAAGTTAATTATATTATGTCTGAGATCAGACTTGATGACTTTATTAACGCCGTCATTAAACGCGGTTTTATTGGATTTAGACTTTTGCAACGGCGAGACAAATCACGGTATCGTCCTTGTCAAACGGGATCAATTCGTCTCCGTCCGGGTAGCGCGGATCGCCCCTGATCTTGTAATAGAGCTTCTGTTGGACGCAGTAAACTTCGGCTCCCACGTAGTCCTTTGCCTTCGCGTCCTTGATCACCACGGGCAGATGGCCGGACATACAACTACAATTTGTTGGCGTTAACGTCCCTCATTGGCACAAAAACCGGTTCTGGACTGTTAGCGGGGGGTATTTTTCTAATGTTGATAATAGTTTTAAATTGCTAGAAAGGTGTAAAAAAATTTTTTAACATTGTGAAAATTCAAAATCAGTACCTTTTTGGACATATTTCATATATTTTTGACGGAAAAATCAAAAACTCCGAAGATATTAATTTTGGTTGTTTTTATATTGTTTTTATGTCTAAAAACTATTTAAATCGCTATACCGATGGTTTATATTTTGTTATAGGGCCGTAGAGAATCACAGGGAAAAATTTGGTTGCCCCCGCTAACAGCCCAGAACCCAAAAACCCACGTCTGAACGCATTCTCCGCTAGGTGTAAGCATGCGCATCCAATCGTCAGGTGGGAATGTGCAGTTGCCGACCCAGTAGCCAGACACTTCGGTGATTTTCCCCGTACAATCTCCCGGATAGGGAAATGCTTTTGGTATCGGGCATCCCTCACATACTAAAATCCTGTTAATGCGCAGGTATACATGAAAAATCATACATGATTTAGCGCATGCAGCGCCAACAAGACCAGGCACGGCAAAAAGTGCCAACGCGAAAATCAGGCCCAGCATTATGGAATTCACGGTGGAGCGCTTTGAGGGACTGACAAGGGTTTCCCGAGGCTACAAAATGGTCTCGGATGCGAATTTATAGCGTAAACCGCACATTTTCCAACCTGCGAAACGTGATTTGCATCTGAAAGGGCGCTGAACTAGGCTCCCATCAGCCTTTGATGATCGGAATTTCTCTTGGAAATTGTCTATTGTGCGCTCGCGGACGCGTTTCGTTTTGTAAATCCAAAAAATCATTCTAGATCTCTGAGGCCTTGCGTCGTGAAAATCCGACGCTTGTGATTGCTCCGAAGGTTTGTGAAAAACAGCGAAGTTTCCATACTGCCCAACAGAGAGAGTGTTGCTTTCGCTACCTTTGAGAATGCCCTACTTGCAAGAAAAACAACAATGATCAAGTTAAATTTTATTGGACTGTCGCGCAAAATATCATATATCCCGCCGGTACTGGATTATAATCATCACCGGGGTCGGTTGCCGTATTAACAATGTTATACATCAGTTGGCCGCCCATACATTTCGTCGTGACATAATATATCAGGTCACCGTCGACTAGAAACGTGGAGCTCCCATCGATGCACCTAAATATATTTTAGCTTATGTTGCACCAAGCTTTTGCTCTTTCGCCCCTTGGTGCGGTGCAAGATGGCTTGTTTATGTTTTCGTAAGGCATCTTAAAATACTCACCTTGAGATACATTCGCTACTCGTGATAACGTTTTCCCAGTTATCCGTTGGCGTAGCACACATGGTGTAAGTAAAAGATTGGTTTGGGTTGTCGGCACTGCCGAAACAGCTTGCGCCATCGGGCGGAAGTTGGCTAGGAACATCAACAGGACAGCCAGTGCAAACTTAATAAAGGCTTCAAATTAAGCTTCATAATTTTTACCGCCAAGCGTCGTTGTCGTGGTTTCATCTATCTGGAAAAAGTGATTACAGTCTTGAGGAAAGACATCAAATAGTCGTTTCAAAAGGTTGTAAAATTCTACGTTTCTAACCCCATACCACTGTAGTCGTGCTCATGATCGCAGTTGTGTCATCATCAGGCACAGCTGTGGTTGTTGTGGCCACAACTAGGTGATGGCATGGTAAATTTAAGGTAAACCCTCTTACCTGGTGGCTGTATTCTGGCGCAGACTTCGAGTACCGCAGGCGAGCAAGTTAGCAAAAATACCAAAAAGCTGTCAATCACTCTCATTCCGGAAAAGTGTCAAAGTAGCGAAAACACTTCTAAATTGGGAGTTCAAACATATTATCACTATTTTAACAAAAAAAAGCGTGGCTAACGTACCTTTGTTGCGAGCGCTACAAACACAAAGAATTAGCTTCTGAATCGGGACAGAAACGTTAAAATTTGATTCAGAGGCGGATTTTCTGTTGCTAAGGGTGTGATCCGCGTGGAAAAGTACGGCCACATCGCAATCGCACCCTTTAAGAAACTGTCACCGATACATTGCAAAACCCGTTCAGCAGAATTTTGATGCGCTGACCTAATGGATGGGACCCGGTCTCAAAATATCATCGCTGACCATCAGAGCGTTTCTCGATGTAAGCTGATACGATCCGACCATGTTCTTGCGCCGTTTGATTAGCCTCTTGCCACCCCGGCAATTTGTCACACCGTTCCAGATATTGACGCATTGGCGGAGCGAGTTTCAGTCTCGGCAAAGATGTGGGTCCTACGGTAGCCGAATGCAATTGAGCGGGAGCGTGAACTCCCTGCCAGAAAGAGCGCTCAAACTGCACCGCGAGCTTTAGTGCTAGATGCTTGATTTTTTCGATGCTACCATGCGCCCATTCTGTGAAGCGGTGCGCGTCTTGATAGCTTCTACTGCATTTTTCGCCTGCCGAAAAAAGTTCGAACTTTTTGGTTGGACACTATCACCCTTTTCACAGCTTTTGCTTTTGCGTTGTCCCCGTGTTGCCAGAAGCAAGCTTAGAAATTCTTCTATTCATTTACCCGAAACCAGTACGGTACACGCCTTTACACTCCCCCTCTTTGTGCGCCCTGCCCGTCACCGGCAGAGGCCCGCGTTTTGTGCGTGTTCTTTTTCTGTCCGCCCTTGAACTGAGTCAGCATATCAAGACCACACCTACGGCACCCCAAAATAAATCATCATCGGAAATGGGTCACCACAAAAAAGCGCATGATGGAACGTTCCACAAAAACACGAGCTAGGACTGAACGCTTGCACTCGCGAGAACGCAGCGTTCTCACCAGACCGGTTTAGTCTGCAACGTGCTATTCTTAGGCGCGGCATTTGATCATTTTTAAAGTCTGGAGCTTTCCTGTATGTAGTTGTGTTATATAATTCTTCCGAAACCTCAAGAAGTAGTTCAAAACGCCAAACTCAAAAATCGTTAGCCACTGTATGAAAAACGGCGCATTTTTATCTTAAATTACTCTGCATTTATTAGCACAAAATCTTGCAAGGAGATTTTTATTCATTGTATTCTTCGATATTTGAAAAACATCATAAAGAATTGATTCAAAATCAACACGTTTTCGAAACCCATAAAACCCAATACAATTTCTTCCATTTTTCAAAAATTACATTTTTTGGTGTGTTTGGCGGATTGGAGGGTCGTAAGGATCTTCTGAAGCACGAGGCTCAAATCCCCATGTACATGTTGCCGGTTTGCATCTGTAAAAGGGTTGATTAAGTGAGTCAGTTTGGCAAAGCAAGGCTTAGAAAATTACGTACGCTAAAAAAATCTCAAAAAAACCTACACATTGCGGCTCGTTCCAGAACCAGTCCTGGCCGAGGACGAACGAGTCGTACGGGTGAGGCCCATTGGCCTCCCTGTCCCGCTCGAACACGTGCTGGGCCTGGAATAGAGGTTGCTTATAATATTTACGTTTGCATAGGTATCGGCTTCAAAAACTAATCAAAGCTTTCGAAAACTTACCCAAACCGGCTCCCACTCGAGGTCGACGGCATTCTGGGTGTGCAGGGCTTTGCGTACGAAGCCGTCCCATGGCCCCAGCTCGACCATTTGCTGGCGCTTCGGGCCGATGAATCTAGAAAAAATTAATTATTATTTTTGTTAAATAGAATGAGATATTCAAGTAGTTTTGCAAAACAAAATTCACCGGTTTCTTGCATAAAAAGCCAGCGGGATTTTTAGGTTCACAAAGCTACGCTAAAAACGGTTAGCCGGTTGGCCCGGTTTTGTGATCATGGTAGAACCGGTTGGATTCTGAGGAAGTTGTAGTGCTTAAAAATGCAAAAGAATTATAGTAAGCCAGCGAAAATCTGTTCAAAAGGCAAGTTGTTACTTTAAAGAAACGCTTGGAGTTTTTGAAAATTAGCCATTACATAGAATCGCAACTATTATCGAATTTTTATCGAGTAAATTTGGTCTTAGAGTTGATTTTTCAGCTAGATTACGCAACAGGAACGTAGACTTTAAAATTCCGTGGTAAATTTATTCTGATTGTCTGCTAAAACGAGCTATCGAAAATATCACCAGAAATTAAGTTTAAAACGTCCAATTAAAACTTATTTAGCTGATTTTCTGCTAAAAGATCTAAATGTTTACCCCGGCCTGGCGTCGTTCAGCCAGTAGATGTCGACCGGCCGGTTCCGGGGGTTGATGCTGCGGTTGGGGAGTTCCGGGTCCGGGCAAGCCTCCTTTGGCTTCTACAAAAAAATCGAGAGATTTTTTCCTGAATTATAACATTTGGCGTTCGATGCCTTTGCGCTGCTAAGACCCAGTCTTAAAAGCAATGCTCTAGAAAACTCGCATAGACAAATCGGGCGGCCTCCTCGTGCTCCGTCCCGAGCCAGCGGGTGAAGGCAGCGTCATCGTCGTAGACCTAAAGGCATGGGGTTATTAATACATATAATTGTCCGAATAATTTTTAAATATCTTTAAAACAGCCTACCGGGAGCCACTGCTGTTGCCGCTCCTCCTCGTACTCCTCGACGCCGCCCCAGAATTTGTCGATCTGGAAAAGTGTGTTTATCGGCTTTTAGAAGCCGATTTGAGTATTTTAAAGGACCGCTGAAGTCTAGGATTTCAAGATTGCAGGCAAACAAAACTTTAAAGCTCGAAAACCCACCTGCTCGTCGAGCAGGATCTCCTCTGGTCGGTCAAAACGGCGGCCGCCGAACTGCCCGTTGTCGCGCACCAGCTCTTCGCGGTGCACGGCGGTGACTCTCTAAAATAAGTATAAAACTTTAGCTTTAGTAAGCTTTTGATAAGGTGAAAATTTGCTTAAGCTAGTTTTAATATTTTGAAAACTGACCTGGTGCCTCGGCGGGACGTAGGTGAGCCAGGCGACCAGCGATGTGAAGGGCGCCTGAAAAAGAATAGGTTTTTAGGGCTTGAGTTAAGCCTAAGTCTAAGCCTAAGCCAAAGCCTAAGCCAAAGCCTAAGCCTACGCCTAACCACAAGCATGGGCCCAAAATCCAAAAAATAATTCTGCTAAACCTACCACGTCTGCCATCCATTCCGCCTCCATCCGCTTCCAGTTCTGCCGCGCCTCCGCCTGGATGTTCATCAGGAACCTGCAAATAAAATTGTTAAAAACTCAAATTACTAAAAAATCCATAAAAAGCGCTATATGGAAGGCAAACGCCTAATAAGGTAGCAAAAATGCAATTTTGAAACTCACTGCATCACTTCCCGGTCGAAGACCTTCAGCGCGTCAGTTTCCGGGGCCTGAAAAGGTAAGTAGCTCAGGTAACTATCTCTTTCTCGCTCTCTCGCGCTCTCTCTTCTCCGCCTAAAATCATGAATCCAAAATCCCACCAGGTCCAGCCTGTCCTCCATTTCCTTGACGTCGACGCTGTCGAAGTTGACGACTTCGCGGACACTGAAAAGTTGAATTAAATTGGTTGCAAAAACCTATTAAAAACAATTTTGAAAAACTTACAACTTGTCCCACAGCGCGCTCATCTGGTCGCGGCGGTGGACCTGCTTGAAGGTCCAGCGCTCCATCAGGCGCCAGAACAGCTTCTGAAAAATGGATTAAATTATTTTTAAAGGGCCATATAAGTTAAAAATTCATTTGTGATTAGTTTTTTGTTTTATATCAATTTATCCTGAGACAAAGCGCTTTATGGCATCAAGGGAAGACTGAAATTTTTGCGGCGCCTTAAAAATTCTGAAAAATTTTACTCTGTATTAGCCGAAAAAAGCGCTTTATTGTAAACTGCTCAAACTAGAAAAAATTGCCGAGCATTTTGCTTTTTTTACTATTTTTGTTTGTGTTAATCAATTTAAATTGAAACCCGACCTGGCTGGCGCGGGCTGGGGAACATCGGCCGGCGGCCCTGATCGCCCAATAGGCGATCGCCCAGCCTCGCTGGGTCCACAGCCGCTCGTAGAGCGGCATGTAGCTGAAAAATAGGGATTAGAGGTTAGGATTATTCTTTACGAAAGACACTATCTAACACCGTGTTTCGGCTTCCCCAAGCTATTTTCAATTATTTTTCAGTGATCGCAAGCAAAACCTTTCAAGAACTCATTCTCATGATTCTCACAAAAATCAACAAAGATTCATAAAGGTATCGTTGCCGAGCAGATCCAAAATCATCTCAAAATCTCAAGAAATTACGATCCGCTACGACCAATAATGATACTTTTCTGGGTCCTGGCGTTCGCCGGGCGGCAACAGATGCCCCCCCCCCCCCCCACCCCTGGGGGGGGGCCTCTTGCTTCCCCCCCCCGGGCGCCCCGCCCGGGCGAATCTTTAAAATAATTTTTTCCCGCCCGGCCGGCCCGCAGAGACCGCGGCCCGGACCCACCCCCCCCCAAACAAAAACGGAAAAAAGCCAAAAACAACAAAAAGGCCCGCCGGGGGAAAAGCACAGAGACATTTCCTTCCAACGCAACATTGGGCATCCCTTTAATCGCTATCGTCCGCAAAACTTCGTGTCTAGAGGTCTGAGCGTGCTCAACAACTCTGCTGTTACAGATTTTCCTCAAATGTTTTTTTGGAACGGAACTTACAGAGATTTCGACTGCGAACACTGAAAAAACAGAATATGGACCAAAATAGCCCTATGACTTAACGTCGCGTTCTTCTACTCCTATGTTTTTTTGCAATTCAGCCCGATGCCGTGTAACAAGAGAAAAACCTAGTGTGCTATTCGAATTTGCTGAGGCTATGTTTTATGACAATTTGAAAAGTAAGGATCAGCCTCAATCCTCCTAATGTTGACGCTCAAGTAAGCTAAATTACTACTGTCTATGAATTAGCACTAATGTTTTTAATTACTTTCTCTTTCGATAACAAACCTGCAACTCCATTGTGATTCTCTGTAAAAAACGGCAACTCATTAACAGGAAAAGCCGAGTAAATAACATTGTGGGTGTAAAGAGCAACATTGCCTGCAGAGCTGGGGGCGGATTGGCGCAAAAGTGGTTTCGAGCAAAGCCACCTCGTTGCTCCGGTTTGCCGCCTGCCTTTCTCTTCATTGTACCGGGTTTCACTCTACTAGAAACGTATAAAATTTTCAAAGTAGAAACTGGTTTTAAAGTGCTTAATGAAACCTGCGCAAGCGATAAAAATATTGCTATTCCCGGTTTTTTTTGAACAAAATTTCTTCCCGTTTGAAAACTTCCAAAAGTGTTTAATTTCGCTTGACTTGGCAGGCGGCCAAGTTCGGACATAAATCCGATACACAAATAAGTATATTGTCTGTTTTACATAAAGTTTAATATTATTCAAATTAAGATAAGGAGAATTATGCTTATAAAATTCAAGCCCTGCCCTCAAAACTTATCATTTAACGCATGGCTTTTAAATTCTGAGCTCTTTAAAAGATGCCCGGACCAAACGAATTTGATATGCCAAACTGCAAAAAACATAAAGAACCCAAAATAAACAATAAATAAAAAGCTCACTGGTCGTCCTTGGGCGACCAGGGCCATGCGCGGTCGACGCGCTCCTTCGGGCCGGGCTGCGGGGCATTGCGGAGCAGCTCCGCCGGGATGTCCGGGAACTGAAAAAAGTGGAAGTTTGTTTTGGGTTTAAGGCATTGGAATTTAAAAGCTAAAAAAACTTACTCGGGCCTTGAGGTCGTCGTTGTAGGCCTCGATGGCCTCCAACTCGGCCTGCTCGCGGTCGGCCCGCTCCTTTGCCGCCTTCTTCGCCGCCTTGACCGCCTGGTCCGGGCGGAACTTGGCGCGGGTCTGAAAAAGGAGATATTTCGCAATCTACTGTTTTTAGGTTAGGAGAGAGAGAGAGAGAGAGAGAGAGAGAGAGAGAGGGGGGAGAGAGCTTCCCAAATTTTTTGCACCCACCTCCTCCCTGGTCCTCATCGTGTAGGGGTCCCATTCTGGCGAGAGCCAGTCCGGGAAGTAGAGGGCACTCCACTTGCAGAAAGTGGAGTACGTCTAAAAACGCATTAATTATAATGATTTAATTCCAATATTTCGTTTGTCTACAAAAACTGACCGGGCTGCGGGTGAAGATGGCCTGGCCGCCGGTGATGGCCGAGTAGACCATCGACGCGGCGAACGAGATGCTGAAATGTGAAAATTAACCCCCCCAAAGGGGGCCCCCAAAAAAAAATCCTCCCGAAAAACCGACTTTTGCTTTCTTGGGAATAAAGCAGCTAAATAGATCCTTCTTTAAAACTTACTAATACCGCTAATATATCACACCAAAACTAGAAATGCAATTTTGTGCTTCAACCATTTTATTTTTAGTGGGCGTGTAACTTGGCTCAGAGCTCAAATCCTTGTCTTCTAATTTTACTCAAGCCTAAAAAACGTACATGCTGGCCAGCATGTCGTCGTACTGCGTGGCGTAGGACAACGCCATGTAGTAGACGAAGAAGGCCATCGGGGCGGCGGCGACGAACGGGCAGTTCCGGTAGACCTAAAAATATTCAATTATTGCCCGAGTTTACGCCTCACCCAAAGATAAGTCTCAGGTAAGCCTAAACAAAGCCTAAGCCGAAGCTAAGCCTAAGTCTAAGCTTAACGGAAGCCGAATATAAAACCTTGTCGAAGCTGGCTTAATTCTAATGGAAAACTGACCCGGAGCACCTTCTCGACGTGGAACGGGTGGTGGGCCTTGAACCAGGCGCGGACGCGGATGAAGCCGGCCGGGTGGGATCTGAAAATACGTTGTTGGAAGTTTTTTAGTAGAAAGGTAGCCATTAAATCAAAAATCCTGAAACCCACTCCCTCCTCAAGCAGGACACGAGCCCGAGCAGTGTCGCAACGCCGGCCATCCCGAACAGGGTCACCGACTCGGTCACCCAGATCGTTCGGCTGAAAATTCACATATTTCACTTTTTCAAGGGACCAGGAAGCATTTTAAATTAAATCGTTTTAAATGTTCTTACGTTATTATAGAGAAGCATATTTAAAATATATTGTAAAATGTATGGTTACTCACGTCTCATCCGTGAACGTCAGCAGGCAGGTGTAGCTGTTGCCTGCCTGAAAATGCCATTTAATACGATCTACGTCGCTAAAGCTTACGAGCTACCAAAAACTCACGGCATTCCAGTCGATGAACACCACGGTGATGCCGATCGTGAAGCCGATCATCCAGGGCCACACGAAGCGGAACTAAACAAAATAATTTTTTAGCATGTTCATGTCGAAAAATGACTCTTTAAGGACTCGAGAAGTGTCAGGTTCGACCGCTTCTGACCCCTAGGTCTGAACAGTTATTATCATATCCAAAAATGTTTGCGAAATGCTTTTATTTATCTTCAATCTTGTTATTATCGTCCCGGCTCGGACCAGTCGAGACCTAATCTATAGAAAAGGTGGATTCTCCAGCTTCCCAGTCCCTTTAAAACCCAAAACTTACCGAGGGTCCTAGCCAGAAGCGGCGCTTTCCGTCGAGGTCGACGAGGAACTGGTTCTTGTCGTAGCCGGCGATAAGCTGAAAATTGGACGCCCATATTCTTTCTTGGTCTCTCTGGCTCAGTCTCTCTCTTTCCTCTCGCTCTTCTCTCTCTCTCTCTCTCTCTTTCTCTACCAAAACGTATACCACTTACCATCAAGCAGTTGTGCGCCTCTCCCAGCCAGCAAACGAGGACTAAAGTTTTTAGGTATTCTGAATTCAACAAAATGATCCAGACAAAAATTATTGAACTCAAAAACAAAATAAAGTTCGGAAAACTTAAAGAACGAAAGACCAACCAAAAAATTGGAATCGTAAATCTGATTTAGAACAGACTCATGAAGGCCATCAGGAAGATGAGGACCTGGAACATCTTGCAGGCGACGATGTTTGTCTGAAATCAGGTTGGTTTAGTCCACTCTAATTAAACTTTTAAGCCTTGAAAAAGTTCACGAAATGGGAAACCTACTCCAAACAGGATCGGGTAGGAGAAGCAGAACTGCATGGTGGCCATCCCGAGGGTGAAGTAGGTGCGGACATCCTGGGTGACGGTTTGGAGGCACTAAAAATTAGCAGCTAAGCTGTGTTTCTCTCTTTCTCTCTCTCTTTCTCTCTCGTTCTCTTCCTTTCTCTCTCTCTATAACCTCTTGATCCCTGTGATCTTGTATGTGGATCGGCAGGGTGGCGACCATCCGGAAGAGGTTCACGATCTAGAAAAACGAAATTATACTCTTGGTCACTCTCTCTCTCTCTCTCTTTCGCTGTCCCTATCTCTTTCTCGCTCTCTGACCTTGAACAAGAAGATGGCCGATGCGGACGTCGACATTCCGGCGATGGCCAAGAAACCGGGGTTGATGATGGAGGCCTAAAATGAAGATAGATATTTTAATGGTTAGAATAAGTATTTAGGCAAAAGGGGAAAATGATATGTTAAGAAATATAAAAATGAAATATTAGAACTTACCTCGTGGTCCTCGGGGAACCATGCTCGGGCCGAGAGGTTCGTCTGACAGCTCGTTCCGGCAAAACCAGCAGGGCAGTTGCATCTGGAAGTTGCAGATTTTTGGGTATTGTAATGTATTTGATGTGTCTACATCTAGTTTAAGTTCAAGAAGTCTAGATTTTAGATTTTCACGGTCTATGATAATATCATTAATGCACATTATGCTACTCCCATAACGCTCACTCAGGTCCATAGGACGTATCGATACACTCTCCGACGTAGCACAGTGGCGTCACGGTGAAGTTGGCGCACGTCATCGGGATGAACGAGCAGATGAAGCCCTGGAACGTTACGTATCGCTCTCTTTCGCTCTCTACTCCCTCTCTCTCTCTCTCTCTCTCACTCTCTCCCTCTGGCTCGCTCTCCCTCTCTGCCTACATCGTATCCCGCCTTGCATTGGCACTGGTAGAGCATGGCCGAATCGTTGTACTTGCAGAACTCGGTGCCGATCGGGTTACATCTGAATAGATAGATGTTACCAAAATAAGCAACTTTTGGATAGTTAAGGTATTCAATTGACTCACTCATCGCAGCTAGCCACATATTCCGAGTAGGCTCCGACCGGGTTGCTGCCGGGGGTTACGGTGTTGGTGGCTGAAAATTTCTGAATTTAAATGTATCATTAATGCATCAAGGTATCTTACAGCTATCATATGTTGCTGATCTAGGCTATGAGCACGAGCAGTTCTATGGATAATGACTTGCGAGCGCCTTTAGATAGTTGATATTTGATTTATATATTAAATGAACTAACCTGGTGGAGCAGGGCAGCTGAGGTACGATGGGTTCGGGTCCCACATTCCACCCGCATCGCAGGCAAGGCTGACCGTGTTGCCCTCGGTTTGCAAGCAGTTCAGAGTGATCGTCTGGCCGGTGGCTAAAGGGGGAAGTTAGAAACAGAGCAAGAGAGAGAGAGAGTGAGAGAGAGAGAGGGAGAGAGAGAGAGAGAGAGAGAGAGAGCGATATTTATTTACGCTGCAGCATCTCCTCCGTCGGTTGCTCGACGACCGTATCGTTCAGGTAGTAGGCGAACTCGGCGGCGCTGCAGTTGAACGCGGCGCAGTAGGCTAAAAAAATGGATAACTGGGTTTTTAAGAGCATTTAAAAGTTAGTAAATTGCGTACTCGGCCTCATGCAGATTGCCGTGGCGCCCTGGTTGGTGCTCAACGCCCTGTACTGCTTGGTAAAGGCGGTGGTCGGGTCAAAATCGGTCATCCATTGGATGGCGTAGTCGTAGCTTGTCCGCCAGGTGGCAATGTTGAAGAAATCGAGCTAAAAAAAATTGGTGTTTTTGGAACCTATAGCGCGTTTAGATATTTACACATTAATCGATACCAGATTCCGAAAGCAAACTACCGACCTGCTGGCAATTTGGAAGTTTTTGTGGTTTTTATCGGTTTTCAAGACGTTTTTAAATATTTTCTTACCATGATTTGGGTGTTGAACAGCTTGTTCCCGCGCGGGTTGACGAAGAACAGCTCGGAGAAGCCCTGTGCAGCCCTGAGAATTTTTTTCTTATGGAAATTTTTGGAAATTCGGGAATCTTCAGGTGTTTAGCTACCTCCACTTTTCCATTTCCTCGACAAATCCGAGCGTCATGAACTCGACGATTCCGACAAGTTGCGAGTCGTTGGCAGCCTAGGGGAGGGATACGGCATCAATAAAGGGATCGTGCCACAAAAAAATTACGCTAGGCCCTTGGCCCCTACATCAAAACCTGGAATGTGTCTTGATGAGTGTTGCTAGTGATGAAGCTATCAATTAAGTGGCACGCTCCTTTTAAAATTAGTGGGTTCCGTTTTTGAGCAATAATCTTCTTATTTTGGCTACCAGGAATGCCGCAGTACGATCCGGAATTTGCAATAAAATCCGTTCTAGGCTCAGGAGTGTTAACTTTAATGTTGACCAAATTTTAACAAACCCTAACTTTGTATACCACATTTGCTCAAAGAATTTCAGGTGGTTTTGAAAAACCGTTTTGATTGAGAAAGCAAACCAACTGAGCCCCCGATCGCAGGCTAGCAAAGATTCTGAAGGAAAAGCAAGCAAAGCCGGACAAGCAAAGAACGAGCACGTTTGTAAGATGGCCAGGAAAAATGCGTCGGAAAAGTAGAAAGCAAACCAAAAAGAAAGCTAGTAGGAGTTGTTAGGAAAAGCAAAGGCAAGCAAGCTAGCAGAGGTTGTTAAGGAAACGAAGGGGCAGGCTAGCAGAGGTTGTTAGGGAAAACAAAGGGGTCGGCTAGCAGAGGTTGTTAGGGAAAGCGAGCGGCAAGCTGGCAGAGGTGGTTTGAGAAAGGAAAGGGCAGGCTAGCAGAAGTTGTTGAGAACAGCGAAGGGCAGGCTATGAAGTGGATGGTTAAAAGTCAACCCGGACAAATTCCGGAAAGAAATTAAAGGCTAATCTCCGACATACGAAATTTTCCCGCGTCCCGTCCCGTCCGTCTCATTAGCATAAAATTTTGCGGACGGACGCGGACGCGTCCCGGACGGACGGGACGGACGCATGGCGGACGGGGACGGGGAGCGTCCGCGCGTCCGAGATGCACATTAATTCATGGTAATCCTAAAATGAAAACCAGGAAATTCACAATAATTTTGCAGGTTTTGCGATGAATTTGATTTTATTGGACAGTAGGTTGCCATGTACAAGTAGACATGCTAAAAACCAGACTCTACCAAAGGTTTTACGCCCAACAATGAAAAACTAGGCGCTTCATTATGATTTGAATCCGGTTTTCTCATTTGCATCGCGGACGCAGTTACTTCCGGCGTCCGCCGTCCGTCCCGTCCGTCCGGGACGCGTCCCCGTCCGTCCGCAAAAATTTATGTAAATGAGCGGACGGGGACGCGTCCGCGTCCCGGACCGTCCGTGTCCGTCCGCGAACAACCCTGCTGCACACACATCAAATTTTACAAAATCAGCTGTTTTCTACATTAAATTCAATTTTTTGTAAAATTTTCGAGGACCCTCTTTGTTACCAAAAATTAGCATCCGCCGGAAGTGAGTTTTGTCTATATCAAGTGACAGAGGGAGCGTTTTTCATTTTTTTGCTTATCGGAATACGGGGGCAATTATGCAAAGTGAAGAATAGTTTGGGATTAGACGAGGCCAGGGTTGGAAAGTCGCGAAGCGGCTTTTCAACACTGGTGAAAATATAATTTGAGAAAGCATATTGGAAAATACCGGACTTACCGATGGCCTGAAAAATGAGAAAATGCTAACGCACGAAAAATATTGGGCGTGATAGGATTTGGATGCAAAATTCGACATGCCTTGCTTTGCCCGTGGCATAAAGGATGAAAGGAGGATTAATTGGGGCGGATGGCAACCTTTTAAAAATCTGGATTTGGTTGAGGCATTTATTTTTTTTATGAGGCAGACAATGGAGTAAAATTTTTTGATGTGTTAAGTGTTTGAAAAAGGTATGGTACCTGTGACAAAAATCAAAAAAATCGTGTGATAATAGCCGTCTTATAAACAGGACCAAAAAAAAAAATAAACAAAGATGATAGATATGGCGAAGGGAAGAAAAAAGATGTGGAAACAACGGCTTTAAAGAAACTGGAAAGCCAAAGGCTTGACATCCCGGTACCTTGATCCCTTTCTTGGCCTTGGACTGCCTGGTTCCTTTAAAAGAACAAGAACGAATATCGAATCAATACATCAAAAGCGGTATACCGTATAAGAAACGTGAAAGAAAAAGTGAAAATTGACTTACAGTACAACCGGCCGAGGCTGTGGAGTAGGTGCTGTAGGAGGAGGGGAGCACGAGCAGGCAACTGAAAGCAACCGAGTCATTTTGAATTCCGACCTAGTTTTGATAACGGCATAATAATTCAGATAAAATACATACGTATCGTTGAAGAGGGTGAAGTTCTGGGGGCAGGCCGTGGCGCAAGGGTAAGGGTCTGAAAATTACCATAATTTATTGATTGATTAGAAAATCTCTATCAATTTTTTGCTAAGAATAGGTATCTTCTAAGCCTAGGCCATCTTTCAGATTTAAAAAAAAACTGCTGGAAAATACTTAAATCAAGTCCAAAACCCCACCAAGTGTCGGGGCCGGGTCGGTGTCGGCAAACACCCAGGTGCCGGCTGAAAGAAAAGGCGAATAAACGGTGTCATCGATCACTTTCGCTTCTCTATATCTCGCTTTGCCTCGCTTTCTCTCTCCCTCTCTCTCTCTCTCTCTCTCTTCACTAGCTAGTTGCAAAACCTACGGTATTGGGCCGAGCACACCATTCCGGGCATCATCATTTTGGTAGCATCACACGTGGCGGAGCTCTAAATCAGAATTGAACTTCAATGAAACACGTGAGATGTCGATTTTATCGTTTTTTCCGGCTTCGGTATAAGCTTTACTACTTTAATTGGGGCAAGAACCGGTTTAATTTTCGTGTTTTCTTTCTTACCGTAGTTCCGCTCTGACTGATCGTCAGCGTCGTCGCATCCGATTCCTGTGTTGTCCATTCCGTTGTTCCGGTCGAGCTTGTCGAGGTGTCCGATGTGGTTCTAGTAGTTGACGTTCCAGAAGTTGGCCCTGCCGAGGTTGTTGTTCCGGACGATGTCGTGCCGCTCGAAGAGGTTCCAGAAGACGAGGTGCCACCCGAAGAACTTCCAGAAGAAGTCGATACAGGTGAGGTACCACTCGACGAGGCTCCAAAAGAAGACGTCGTTTCCGTAGTGTCAGGAGTTTCTGTAGTTCCATGCGTGGATCCCGAGGTTGCTGGATCAGATGGGGACGAGTCGGAAGAGGTTTGACCTGAACAAAAATATTGACTACGCTGTGATTTTTTATGATCGTGCTATGGCTCGAAGTAAGAAATTAGCTTTACCTGGCGTAGTAGACGCGGTTTCTGAAGTAGAAATCATCGGGCTGGTCAGCGTACGTCCGGTGATGGAGATCGTAGTCGAGTCATCTGTTGAGGTAGTAGTTTTCCTAGAAGAACAAGATTAGAGAAATTAATACGGAATCGAAACACTGAAATCAATTACGTACTCCGTAGTTCCTGTGGTCGTTGTCGTTGTGGTTGTGGTCTTCGGCAAGGCTGTGGAGGTCGATCGGGTTGAGCTCGTCTAGAAAAAAATGCGAAAAATCAACTACTATTGAAGAGGTCTTACCGTTCCTGTAGTTGAGATTGGGACCTTCGGTTCTGGAGTAGTGCTGGTCGTGGCTTGACTTGAGGATTTGGAGCCCTAAACCAGAATATACCGTTTTTGTTTTATTTATATTTTAAGAAATTCCAGCTATTTTCAAAGCTATTTCAAAGAAAGTTTGTTAATTTGAATCAATGCTTCGGTATTAAAGGCTTACGGTAGTGGATCCTGAGGTGCTCGTCGTATTTGTCGAAATCGGGATCCTTTCACCTTCAGAAGTCGTGGTCGGAGGTGGGGCCGTAGATTTCGTCGTCTAAAAAATAAATCGGATTTTTCATTTAGAAATTTAACTTACGGTAGTCCCAGATGAGGTTGACCCTGTCGAACCAGTCGATGAGCCAGTCGAGCCCGCTGAGGAGCCTGTCGATCCGGTTGAACCTGTCGATGAGCCAGTGCTTCCGCTTGATGAACCTCCGCTCGTAGTTCCAGTAGACGATGCACCAGTTGAAGACGTTCCAGACGATGATGAGCTGGTACCCTAAAAACTTCTGTTTTTTTAATATTTCAGGAGAAACTACCGTAGTCGTCCCACCCGAGCTTGAGTTGCTGCCCGAGGTGCTGCCCGAACCGCTTGAGCTAGTGCCTCCGGTTGAGGAGGTGCCCTGAAAATTCTGCGGCTAGCTCAAAATCAAGCGGAATTTATTGATATTCGGCAGCTGAGAAAATCAAAAGGCCACAACGTAGGCCTGAAGCACCAGCCTGTCCAGAAGTGCCGGTCGAGGCGGAGGATCCGGATGACGAGGAGCCAGAAGATGAACCAGAAGAGGTTCCAGCTGTCGAGCTCGAGATGGGCAATTTCTGGAAAAAGCAATGATGTAGCAGACTCGACGGCTCGTGATCCCAAATTTGAGAAGTCACTTTACCGTAATCGATTCTGCCGTCGTGTTCGGCCCAGCTGTTGAGGGGCTTGAAACCGAGCTCGAGCCAGCCGTCGATGTCGTGTCCTGAAAAAGCGAATCTCGTAAATTTTAGTGCCTTGATTAGTGCAATTTAGCTTGGAATTTTTTTTGAGAAATCCCCAACCTTCGTAATTGTGGATCCAGTCGTTGTCGTTGGAAGACTTGTCGAACTCGTCGTCGTTCGTGTGCTCGAGCCAGTCGTAGTATCCTAAAAATCAGAATATGCCATTTTAATAAATTCAAGCTACCGTCGAAGTCGAAGCAGCAGTCGTCATGGTCACCTTTGATTCAGGAGTCGAGCCTCTCGCCGAGCTGCTAGACGAAGTGTCAATAGGATCAATCGGAATCGCTGGTGGTGGCGGCATCGAGGTAGAAGTCGTCATTTTCGCTAAGCCTGCCGTAGTGGCATCCGTTGTACTGATAGCAGTCGTGGCTTCAGAAGTTCCACCAGTTGAGCTTTTGATTGTCGTTGTTCCTTCTGGAGTCGTAGTTGTTGTGACAGAAACAGGGATCCTGGCATCAGTAGTAGACTCAATTTCCGTAGTTTCAAAAGTTGAACTCATGCTGGTCGAGTCAGTCGTGGCTTCAGAAGTTGGTTCCGTTGTTTCTACAGATGTCGTTGTGCCGTTTGTTGTGACCACCGTCGTTGAGCCAGAAGTCGTTCGATTTATGGTTGTAGAAGTTCCATCCGAAGTCGTGTAGCTAGTCGTCGTGGTTGTAGACGACGTCGTGGTTGTAGAAGTCGTTGTTGTCGTTGTCACCGTGCTCGATTCAGTCGATTCTGAAGTTGACGTCTTCTCCGTCGTACTCAAATCCTGAGTAGATTCACTTAGTATTTTCGTCGTCGGCCAAGCAGTCAAATTTTCTGTCGTAGAATCAGATGAGTTCCACTCAAGGGTAGAAGATTCTATTGAGATTGTCCCTGCATCGGAATAATCCGTCGAGCCTTCCGTTTCGGTCGAGTTCGCTGGTCCTTCGGAAGTCGATTGTTCCGTGGTCAGGTCGGTGGATGGAGCTTCAGAAGTCATTGAAGTAGAATCCGTCGTGATAAATTCAGAAGTAGAGACCGTAGTGGTTGAAATTGCCGGGATAGCAGTAGAAGATCCTGTCGAGGTTCCAGAAGGAGAACTCGAATCCGAACTCGTGCCGTTGGTCGCTTCTGAAGTCAAATCCTCAGTTGTCGTCGGTTGTTGAGAAGTTGTGGATTGCTCAGCTGTCGTGTCCGAACTTGTCGGAGTTGAAGTCGTCGTTGAAGTTGTAGTGCTTGTTGAACCCGATGTCGAGCCCCTCGTCGAAGTCAGAGTCGTTGTTGTAGCCGTAATAGATCCAGAAGTCGTTCCACTCGTTGTTCCGGTCGAGGTAGATGATGTCGAGGTCCCGCTCGTCGAGGCTGAACTTGTAGAACTCGGTTCAGAAGTCTCCTCCTCCGTAGCATTCATACCAGTAGTTGCACTAGTCGTCGATGTCGAGTTTTCAGAGGTTTCATCAGCAGGTTCGGTAGCATTTGCCGATTCCGTAAAATTTCCAGAGTCGGTCGTATCATCAGAATCTGAAGGACTTCCAGTTGGGCGAGTGGGAAATCGAGGCCAGTCTGTCCAGGTTCGTCCGTAGCCTTTGGTTGAAGATGGTGCTTCGGTCGTTGTCGTAGCCGAAGTTGTCGTTGAGGTCATAGATGAACTCGTACTCGTCATTGTTGTCGTCGGCGTACTGCTCTTCTCTGTAGCCCGCTTCTCGGTCACTCCATTCGCGCTCGTCGTGTCCAGCGTGCTCGAAAGGGTGGTCGTTGTCGTCACCTCCGGTGTCGTGGAGGTTGAACTCGTCGACGTCGATTTCGCAGGAATAGTCGTCGTCTTTGTGCTGGTCGACGGCGTGCTCAAAGTCGTCGATGCCGTACTGCTGCTGCTCGTCGACGTGCTCGGCTCCATGGTCGAGGAAGTCGAGGAACTCGGCTCCTTCGTCGATGATGTCGACGGGCTCAGCTTGATTGTGGTCGTAGTTGTAGTCTTTGTGGTAGTTGTAGTAGTTGTAGTCGTGGTCGTCGTGGTGGTGGTAGTTGTGGTGGAAGTCGTCGTGCTCGTGACATTCATGCACGTCAACGGTCCGCACGTCATTAGAACAAAAGTTGCGTTCAGCCCATAGCCCTCGATACATTCACCAGAATCGCCTGTAAGAAAAATTTGGTGAGTCGTTTCTCAAATCGTTCATTACCTTCATCGGATAAGAATTGAGTTTGGAAAACGTCCTGCGCGGCCACAAGCTGCGATTGCTTGAACAATAAGACTGAAATGGCAGATGAAAATCTACAAGAAAATACAGGCCAATCGTTTCTAGGCATCCCAATGATACCCAAATTATTGGGATTTGTTTGAAATCGATTCTGGATTCTCCTTAATGAATCGGATAATAAGTCGAGATTTTTTGAGTTATAATGGTTAACGTCTATACATGAAGTAGGCGGTCAGGAATAATCAAAACTTTGGATTTTGTTGCTGAGTCTGGGTTACGTGTGTAGCCCGCTAACCCGTTTTTGGTCTAGAAAACTGTGTTGATTAAAATATCCTAAATATATAACCCCAAGAAAGAAATTTCATATGTCGTGATGGCAACAGCTGAATCGCCACATTTTCACGTGTGTCTCCAAAATAGGTTTTTAGAAGTTAAAAAAATCCAGGTCAAAATCGGCTTGATGTAGCGGAGTAATGTTTTTAAGGTTTGGATCTGATTGCATGGTGAACGTTTGAGAGCATTATCTGAGCTGAAGTGAAGATAGGTATGATAGCCGGAGAATCAAAAGTAGACCCAGAGTAATCAAACTGGAGATGCTATTATTCAAACCAAATCCGCGATTTGAAAGTTTCTGAAACCAAATCCAGATTTGGTTTGGTTTTAGCGGGAAGTATATAACAAAAGTATACATTTGTTTTGAATCATTTGAGAATACTAAAGTTCCGAATAAGTTAAGAAAATGGATGTTCCAGCAAATTCCGGCTTATTCAATGACAATAATATGCAAGACATCTACAGGGTGGCTGAAAAGTTCCCGCAATTTTTTGACACTGTTAAATGGACTGTTAATTCCTAAAATTCTACTGAGGTAGAGAACTTACGATAGCTAATAGTTTATAGAGGATGTAAAAAACAAATTACAAAACAAAAATCCACAATAAATCTTCACAGCTTCCACCAGACGCTTCGATACAAACGCGCATACACCTTGAAAAATTGCCTCCCATGTTCGCGCTCTCTGCCACAGTACCGAGGCCTAGCACTTTCTAGGGCTGTTTTGAGGGAATTCACTGCAGTGGACCGTTTTCCTGAGACCTTTTGCTACAAAATGGTCAAAACCGAAAGATCGAAAAAATTGAATCCACTGAGTTGGAGGCTTAAACATCAAAGCTGCAAAAACCCGTTTACAACTTTCCCCAGAGGGTGGTAGTTGGACGGCCTGAAAAACCGGGTATCCAGTCTTGCTTAAGCGTGAAAACGTCTTGACGGAAAGGTTGCTTAATTCATGGCTCTGAAACGACCTTAAGGGCTTGATATTGATGCTCGGTGACTTTGATTTCTAGATTTTTTTGAATGAAAACAGTTTAATAGTTGCCGAGGCTCCAGATTCCTGCTCAAATCATCAAAGTTCTCGGAAAACGGGAATGATAGACCAAGACTCTTCCATTGACGGTTTCGGAACAATTGACGATGATTTTGTCTGTTCCGGCTGATTCTACAGCGAAAAAATCGACGCCACCTCGGTGACCGGGAGGGCGCGAACATGCACGGCAATTTCCCCGGCTGCCTGCGCGCTTCTGTTCAGCTACGAGTGGAATTCGTGAAGATTTCTTGCGAATTTTTTGTTCTAATTTGTTCTAATCGAATTTGTTGATTACCTAGTAAATACAGTTTCTGTTGCTCTACCTCAATAGTCAGTCAAATTTTAGGAATTTTCCGTCTATTGACCTGATACAAGAAATTGCGGGAACTTTTCAGCCACCCTGTATGTTCCTCGTTTTCCACGTTGCTTGACTTCCGTACTTCTAAATTGATTGACATAGAGCATCTGAACAAACGGGTCTTAAGGATAAGATAAAAATCGGATTCAGCCTTGTCAGATCGGTCGGAAAATCGGATTCAGCCCCTAATTTGTTTCAAAAGCCATAGATCAAGGTCAATTGAGACAGGGTGTCTATAGGTTCGATAACCTACTGAACAGCGCGAGCAGCGGCGTGATGTGCTTCCCCCTACGCATCCTTCCACTTCCGCCGAAAAGGAGAGAATTGTCACGAGCCCGCGTCTGAAATTCTTGTTGAGTATATCCTACTATCTATAAAAAGTAAATAAAAAAAGTGTCTGTGTGTGCCACTCTGTATGCAACTTCCGTTAGCGGGTCCGGAAGATATCCCAAGAGGGGAAAAGATGAAGGGGGCTTTTGATACGTCATTAGACCCGTAGATTACTGCACGCATATCAGATTTTTCGAAATCGCTTTTTTTCGACATTAAAATTAAGTTTTTTCCTTAAAAATCGGACGACCTTTGTTAGGAAAAAATTAGCATACGCCGGAAGCGTGAGGAGCCGATATAAACGGAGAGAGGACGCGATTTTCATTGTTTGACATAAAAGTGCGGAAGTATTACGCAAAGCGGGGGGGATTTTACGCGGGGGCGGACGGACTGTTGGGGCCGTGCTACCTATTTTTTTGCGTTTCTTTTTGCTACAAACAAAACTCTTAGTATATTTTTCGACGCTCTGTCGAATGGCACTAAAGAAATTTTGTAAAAATTCCGGAAATTTCGAAAATTTGATTTCCCTCTATATCCTCCATGAAAACAACGTTTAATACTTGTTTTTGTTATAATTATTTTATATTACACTAATTTGAGCTAAAACAAAAACTCTTATTATATTTTTCAATGCTCTACCGAATGCCGTTGCGAAAATTCCGAGAAAAATAACGAAAACATCCAAAAAGGCCTGTCTGTCCCGTCCCCTCCCCCCAACCTCCGGGTAAAATTGCCCCCCGCATAAGCGACATATAGTACCTCAGGGTTGGACGGCATAGGGTTGGACGGGGCCAGGGTTGAAAAGTCGCGAAGCGCCTTTTCAACCCTGGTAAAAAATAATATATGAGTGTGCTTGAGATTTCGCAAGAAGTCGCAAAGTGGCAACTGTCCCAGACCCCCGGCGGGGCTAGGGTTGCAAAGCGTAGCGGCTTTGCAACCCCGGTCTTATGCTGAGTCCCAATTAACAAGAATAAAATTGACAAAATCAGACCCCAAAGCCGACCAAATCAAAAACAATTCGGCGAGGCTGGTTTCAGTAGGTTATATGTGCGCATCCACGACAGTAGTCTGAGCAAGTTTTAGCCAAATATCTTCGCTGGCTCAAATCGGCTTTTAAGCTGAGGGGGCGGGGATGAGGGGGGCGGGTCTCCTCACCATGGCCACCAATGCGGCCCTAGATCCGGCGCCGCCAATTCGTGGACGGGGAGATCGAGTGATCCTTCTTCCTTGCCAGCTTTTGACGTTGCTGATAATTCGCCCCACGAATTTTCTTTGCTTTTTTCTCTACAATTAATTATGCTGTAGACGATGAATCTTATACAGCTCCTTTGCATATCGTTGTGCGTTGCTGTTGCTCAAACAGGAGCTATCTGGGATTCAGTCGCTCGGGCGTGGGTGACCACCGGGTAAGCAAAGGGTTTAGCTTGCCTATAAGTTCGAAGCAATGTTTGATATCTTATTTACAGCGAATCTCGCGGCTTGCCTACAACACCAGGAAACTGTCTTCCAAAGCAACCATCGGAATACGCGAAATCTACCGTAAATTTGCCCGATTTCAGAAAAATCATTGCTTTTGCACTGTCGTTAAGCGTAAAAAGGAATGAACAATAGCTCGGTCTTCTCGAAGTTGTGGCAAGCACTTGCCCATTGGGGGGTTCGCAAAAACTCAATCGAAAAACTTTCTTCTATATAAATTCTAAAACGCTTTACCGTCAAAACTGTATTCGAAATTATTGAATTGTTCGAAGACCCGTCTTTTAATGGCGAAACCCTACACAAAAATTTAGATTATGTTTGAACGGCAATACCAATTGAGACAAGGCCCAGGAACATTAATGAAGACCTACACAACAATGATGGATTGCTTCAATGCATGCTATAGTAATAGCAGCTGCGGAACAATGTGGTTTGCTGGCTATAACCGTAGTTGCACACACTATCCAACAACAATGACATGGTATAACTACAATCAGACCGTCCAGAAGGAGGAATACGTCTATACCAAGCGTTTTAGCGCCTTGGTTAGTGATCCCCGGGACTACAGTAAGTAATAAAACAGTTCAAGAAGTTTAGCTCTAGCTATCTTGAACCCATTGGTTACAATCCGACAGCAACTCAGCGGCACTGCGATCAGGAACACAATGTAAGCAGCTCAATGCAGTTGATTTTCTTTTTTTTGCTGGTGTTGGTGCATTCGTAACCATAGCGGGCTTGGAGAATCTCCGGCACTCATTAGGTCAGGGGCAAGGCAACCTAAATGAAATCTTTTTATAAAACTAAAACAAATGGAAACTTTATTTTACCGGGTACCTAGCTGACCCCAATTTTCTGGACCCCTTTAATCCCATCTGCTCTCCCCTGATCTCTGAATTCTGCTCCCCCCGCCCCTCAACTCTGAAATAGTCTAAAAACCGCTTTGCGACTTGGACCCGCTTGGCCTTGGACCTACGATATCTGCACTTGGCATAGCCCTTCGGAATCTCTATCACACACAAAAATGGCAAAACAGGCAGTCGCATCTTTTTAAAATCCGGTATTTTTACCGTGATCTCACCACCATTACGTATCTAACTGCGTATCAAAATTATCCCAATTTGAGACATCCTCCGAATATTCTGCAGCAGGCAGATTGGCACACAACAACATTATTTTTCTACCTATACTGGGACGATGGTAGGATATAAGAGAATGTCGCTTGTACTTTTGATGTTTTGAAACTCCCGGCGATTGGGCGTCAAAGAGGAACTGAGAACTCTTTCAGCATAAAAATGCTATAACTAAAAACTATACACTATTTTTATTCCAATGGTAATTAGGTTTCCCATTGCTTCCGGTGTTCTCGCCGTCCTATGCGCAAAAAATCCTGGTGATTCAGCAATACAACTGCGGCAAGCGGAAGGCTGGCCTTATGCGTTGCGTGGCGCCCGGCCATGAAATGCAAGTTGCAACCCTTCATGATGGGTAAGTTATTTGGCTGTTAATTATTATTACCACTGCCTGAAAATTAGGCTCAGGCTATTTGGAAGCTGCGGCCAATAAAAACCCTACATTTTTCTTGTCGACGGAGAAAACTAGCGAATGTGGTTCTTTTATGGATATCTACAGGAAAAGTGCTGGCAATGGTAGGTTCTGTCGTTCCGTAGGAAAGATCGGTAAAAAAATTTCGGGGGCAACCCCAGCTAGATGTTGAAGGGCTCGATAATCTGCTTTAGGAGATTATTACTATTCCAATAACCGATCAACCTCCGATTGGACGCCAGTTCCAGGGTTTTACTCATGGGATCCTATGCTTTGTTAATCCGCAAGATGCGTCAGGGTGGAATAAAGAATAAGGAATAAAAAGTGTTGACCCGAATCGAAATTTGCATCAAAATTTTCATGAGTATGTGACCCGGCCCGTACGGGGCGGGGGGGGGGGGGGGCGGGCACGCCTACGGCGCTTTTCAGATGGTTTTCAGTGCTATGAAGCCTATTTTTGCAAAATTTCGCAAAAGGTTTTTGGTGCCCCCCGCCCCGATAAATCTCGGCTCCCGTACGGGCTTGGATGTGACTGTGACTATGTTTACGGAGCAGGGGCGCTTGTGTACGGACTCTGTAGCTTTTTGGCGCTAACTGTTCCGCTTCTGGTATTGCAAAGAGTCAAGGTAGATTTATTCATGCAGTTTCGTTTTGAATACACAAGGATCCATCGTTAACAAAGCAACACGGGAGATCTTGTTGTTGAATGGGAGGTCAGAGTAGAGATGTTATCCATATAGACGCGTCGCCTGGATTCAATGCGAATTAGGATGCAAAGTACATGCTTAAGGAGAAAGAAGAAGAAAACAAGCAAAATTCTTGTATTTTGCGCTTGACATCCTAATTATTCGCTCCTGTATACAGGGTGTCCCAAAATTATCCGGACAAAGTTGCAAAGCGGCTTTTTGCTAGTTTTTCCCTATTTTTGCAGACCATAATTTAATTTCTATGAACCGTTGAAGTGTATTTAATAAGCTCAAAAAAAAACTGCGCGTGAATCCGTCATATCTCTTCGCAATAAATTGGAGAAGTTCGAACCAAATTTCTCTCTCCTTGCAAACGCTAAAAACGCGCATGCTTTCCGATCCCATAAGAAACTCCAGCATGACCGGACGAACGAAGAAACCACAGGAAGAGTTCGGAAATGACCAGTCAATACTTTAGCCGGCCCAAAAACCCTAGGTTTACACCAGAAAAAAAACAGCCAGCAAAAAAAGTTGAAATCGATGTACGCGCCGCCCTGGTTGCCTTAAAGGTTTTGCCCTGGAGGAACCCTAAAAACGCGATATGATTGTTGTCAAAGACTAGAGGCATAAACTTTTGGCGGTAACGATGATGCACAAGCGATTTAAATTAAGCTAACTTTGATTTTTGAGGAGCTTGAGCACGAGCAAGCATCGAAACAGCTTGCCCAGTAATTGGATGGAAATCGGTATTAAACGGAAAAATGACCATTAACATGTCGGAATCTTGCCGGAGTTAGGTCCGTTTTGCCACAAAACGTCATTTCTTGCCCACAAAAACGTCTGAGCACATTTTGAAAGTCTACCGCAATTTTTATGTTATTTAAGAGGCGAAAAATTTTAACATGCTCTTCGCTCGATTGTGAAGCTATTTTGCGTTCTCCAAGAATTTTTTTTTGCACGGTGCATCGAAAATGCCTCAAAAAATATTATGAAATACAATGCGGAGGCCGAAAACAGCGGAAAAATTGTAAAAGTCAGTTTTCAGTTTTGTCCGGATAATTTTGGGACACCCTGTATTGATTAGTATGTTATCCCGACGTCGCTTCTGTGTGCGTAACATCTCTAGGTCATAGTTATCGCACCGGATATTCAGGTCTGGCCGTTAGATAGGTTTGGTAGTAGGTATGTTTACTGTACCAATCCATATCGCGACTCCAGATCGCGCGTTTTTTTTACAAAATTACAATACTATGGCTGCACTAGTTTGCCTGAGCACAAAATATTTTGTATCCATTTGGCACTGGGTTGTATGGGCCGAGGTCGTCGCTGGTGGCCCCTTCGATAGCGTAGAACAGTGCACCATCCTGGCATTTCATTCTAACGAAGTATATCAGATCGCCATCGAAAAGGTAGGAAAAAAGAGAGTCGCATCTGAAAATCCATTCACATTAGCAGTAACAAGTTTTAATTATTGTAAATTCAATAAAAGTCTAAGTTTAAATTTAACCTTATTACCTGAACCCCCACCCTCCAAATCCCCTTGGGAGGCGGCTGGGAAGGTCTACTTCCCAACATCCAAATTTCATGAAACTCCTAACTAGGTAACCGCAAATAAAGGCGGACACAGAATTCCCTGAAAATTTGCTGAATCGTACACGCTGATTTTCAACTTATTTCGCGCATTTGCTACTGACCTTTGAGACTCAAGTCTACGTCCGATGATTTTCCGACCGATAAGACTGATTTTCCGCCCCGTGGAAGTGCTTTGCGATGATGCCGTTCTTTTTTGCTTTGAGTTCCTATTGCCATTAAGTAGCCTATCTGATAGAAATTTAAATAATATATTTTATTATTGCATGCTTGTTTCTAGACGGAGTTTTGCAGCTGTTCGAAATGGGCATCTTTTCAGAGTTTCCCAGACAAAAATCGTGCTCCATGCCGAGTAATTCGCTGTTGCAAAATCGGTCGGCCAGGTCAAAATACTCGAGGTCGATGTTTGACCCTTTTTAGTAAAAAAAATTACTTCCAAAGTGGCATATCTCGAATTTTAAAAATCAGTAGCAAATTCGAAAAAGGAGGCAATAATCAGCGTGCGCGATTCCATCTGTGTGCAAATTTTCAGTCAGTTCTCTCGGTACGTGTCAATTCGAGGTTCCATCGTTAAGAGATTTTTTTTATTAAGATATAAAGATTTTTCACCACCCCGAACACGATGGCCATGGATTTTGGTTTCGAAAAACTTATTACTATATTTAATATTAATTAATAAACTTCAAAGTTATTTTTTTGGCCTCCCTTGCCGGCTTCGGCAAAATTGAGCAAGTTCGAAGATAGGGCTGGAAAACCAAAATGTCATAGAATTTTGGCCAGCTGTCTGTTCGCAAAAATTATGCTGATTTTAAGCACGAATAGGCCGGTTATGCTTGATCATTTAGTCAACAGTTTACGTTTCGTTAACGTGTTCTTTCCGGCTATCCTTATTCCGCTATTTTTGCGCAATTTTAACCAAACAAACAATGCTACGGCCATTGGCAAACAAGCGCTAACAACTCACGCTGCAGAGCATTCACCATCGATTATAGTATAACTCCAATTATCATCCGCCGAGAGGCAATTGGAGTATGTCCAGGCGTAAGCTGGATTATCAGCCTGTCCGAAACAACTTATACCATCAGGTGGCAGTTGAGATGGCACTGTCGCTGGACAGCCAGCGCACACTGAAAAACCTCAGGTCGATTTAATAAAAAAAGGTTACATCCCGCCGTCGTCGTGGTCTCGGCAGCCATCTGAAACAAAGAATTGAAAGCCGCATCACAATTTTAGTTTTGATAAATATTCAAATTTCTGTTTTGATAGCAATGGATATATGATCGTGTCGAGGACATGTTCAACCATGATCACCCACTGTGTGTCCCAGTCCAAGCAGTATCTGCAAACGAAACGTTAGTAAAAAGTGCAAACAAACTATCACCATCTTGCATTTCATCCTGGACTTCCGGAATTTTTCGATAATTTATAATTACCAAATTCATAGGTTGAAATGCATTTGATGGAAGATAGGGTCCCAGGATTAATAATAGAGGTAATGCGGTATAAAACCGGAAATAAAACCTTTCTCACAACAAGCTTACAGTAGTAGTAATCGCAACCGCTGTCGTAGTCGGAATTGCTGTCGTAGTGACTACTAACCCGCCACTAGGTCAAATTTAAAAAAGTCATTCTTCATACCTCCAGGTTCCTGCATCCTAGCACACGCATCCATTACCGTATTCGGCAGTGAGGACCAGATAACAAAAAGGGCAGACGTCGTCAGTGGCCGCATGCGGGACGGGTGGTACGGTGGAACTGAAGCTCAATTGGAACGTTCGGCTCCTTTAGCCGGGAGGGGCGAGGAGGCAAAGTTTTGGTCGACCGACGGCATTGTCGAGGAACCGGTCCTCGATTTGGGATTTGGTCATTAGCCAATGTCGTGCGGCATCGGGAGCGTAGTGGCATGCGCCTTTTTTGACAGTATACGGAATACTAGGAGCGCTTTGTACGGACAGAGAGAGGTTTTTGAGCAACTTCGCCGTAGTTTCAATTGGCGACTAGGCATACCTTGTGCCGAATTTTGCGCTGATTCCGAATACATTAACGAAATTTTCTCAATCTCTATTTTCAGACAGTTACGAAATAATTAAATTAGGAAAATCATAGAAAGTGGCTCATTTTGGGACCATGGATACCCAAAACTTTTGGAAAGGAGCACTTCCGCAAATTTCGTCGACATATTCGGAAACAGCGCAAAATTCAAGGTAGGCTTTACCCCAATTTGCGCGTCAAAACTTTGATATTTTTGGATCGGTGATATCCGCTATCTTTAGCTTAGCCATCTTCCACCAAAAAACTAGCTTTCAAAATAAAACGCGAAAAGTCGAAGGACGAAAATCCTAAAACTCACTTTTTCCATTCGGACGCGGATAAGCTTCAATTAGCCAAACTATTTCATAGCTTGATAATAAAAATAAGAGCGTGCAGAAATTAGAATAGCCCTTCAAATTATCTAAAAATACGAAAATAGCTCAAATTCCCAACCATCAAATCGATACGTCCTGTTGCCGGTGTCTTATGACTCTGTGAAATTCCCATGACCCAGGATGGGTAATAAATAGCAAATCACATGACCGTCACTTTACATTATTTAGCTTATTTTTCGCTATTGACTACAGCTAATTCAAATTACTATTCCATTTTCTTGCAATGCATTAACAATATTTTTTTTTATCATTGAGGCTTAAGCAGCCACCACGCGCCGATCCAGACTATGGTACCCACCCCTGGACCCGGGTACCGTACCCCAAAACGTACTTCTGATCTCGACGTGGGGCAGCAGCAGAAAAAAACGGATTTTCAGTCTGATAGCGGAAGGGGCGCCAATGTGCGTTAAGAAAAACGCGGCTTTAAAAAGGTCTGGATGCGGGAGAAAAACTTGACACGGCGGATCATATTGCGTTCGCAATTGGGACGGTTAGTTATATTATTTATGGGATCAAAAAAGCATATTAATAGAACTATATAGCTTGATATTACGAAAATCTCACTTCTTGAACTCGTCGGGCCGCGACCGATCAGATTTCCCTATAAATCTAATAAAATGTATTAAAGAAATTACCAACCTTCCATAGAGCAATTTCTGAAGGTTCTTTTGAACTCCTTGCTGGCGCTGGTTTCATATATAAGCGCAGAAGAGGCGGAAAAGCACGTCAAGACTAACCTACTAAAATCGTAATTTGTATGTTTGCGCAGCTGACGCATACCTGGCACATTTTTTGCTGCTGATCGCTCAGGCTGCACGGAAACTATGCGGCTATCCGCTCATCAATCAACAATGCGGAGAGATATCTGTCTGCTGGATCTAGATTGGTTTAGTGAGGAAATGTTGCGAATCGGCGGCGCGGAGGAGCACGAGTTCAGCGAGGTCAAGTCGGGAGTTTAATGATAGACGCTTAAGAAAGTCGAAATATGCACGTAATCTGAGGCTAAATGCTTCAATCCGGCCTTGGACCACTGAATATAATAAAATAAAAATGCATATCTAATTACGGGGTTTAATTTGGTAATAAACATTGAAAATTACAAGATCCTGTTCCTCTTTATGTGTTTTTCGTCACATCGGAACCTAGAAATGGAGAAAACTAAAGTACTTTTTAAAGTATAAAAATCTGTCTCTGAAAAATAAAACTTGTTTCTTTCATTTAGAGTTTTTCGCGAGTCTTTACTTTTTATTTTTATTGCCGTTTAGCGATGAATAAATTGCTAAATAGGGCGCCTAAACTGTAAATAGCTAATAAAAATTTTTAAAATAAAGAAAACATTTGTGAAGCTCATGCGCCTTAGAAAATGACCCAAAAGTGTAGATAAAAAACGATAAGTGGATGAAATGATAAATCCTATTGACTCGCATATGGTATTATATTTCATTACTGGCTTACGAGATCTTACCAGATCATGACGGAATAAAACGCTTAAGACAAAAATAACTTACTAAAAAAAGATTGACCCCGCAAAAGCAGGCTTTCTACTGTTAATGCTGGAATAGACGAGTACACTTACTTTTAAGTAGCACAGCTGAATATCGATTCATCTGCCACGAAAATGGAGCAAGCCATGCAAGCGATTTTATTTGCTTCAAAAACGGAAACTAACGATGTTGTTTTGAGTAAAATGCACCAGCCCACTTTTCGGCTTGTCTAGGCGCATGGCGCCTGTTTGAGTTTCGAAAATTCGAGTCTTTGAGCCATTGAGTCAGCCCAGTCCAGCGAAATGTTTCGTCATCATTCTGCAAGGTATTTATTGTCTTTCGCACGATTGGCAGAAAATTTTTCGATTCAATTAGACTCATGGGAACATATCGGTCTCAAAAAATTCGGTTAAAAGCTCATTTTTTGGTGGTCGACCGAACCCTTTTGTTGCTACATTTCTTTTTCCTAATTTTCCGTTCTACTTTCTTCTGAACTTACTACAAGATGAGGATCAGATAACATATTTTTGTAGACGCTGGGGCAGGCTTCAAGGACCATAGCTTCGGCCTTTTGCTACTCGTCGTTTTCTGAAATGTCAGAATTGAAGCTGCAATAAGCGTTTGCAAATCGAAAAAGACAAAAATACAGGGTGTCCCAAAAAAAAACGACCCATCTGGCATTTCGCCGTGTTACATCCAACCGGTCCCAAATTTGGACCAGAAGTGTATCAGACCCTAAATAACAACAATCCTGACTTTTAGCGCCGTAGCTACAGTAGTGTTAAAGTTATAACGAAAATACTGTTTTTCCCGGAATTCTGAACAGTTTTTTCGGCTATGTTTTTTGGACTTTGCATCGATTTGCATCGACTTCCGGCTGCGAATCCCTAATTTCGCTTAAGAACTGGGGTAGTTTTGCGTTGTAAAAATCGCTTAAATCGAAGCCTATTTAATTAATTTTACTCTGGAAAAAAATTTCTTAGGGTAAAAAAGGCCTACCGGATCATTTTCACTTAATGTTTAGGGGGCCGAATTCCACGGAAACCCTATGAAAAATGGAAAATAAAGTTTGTTTTTGCTATAACTCGAGAACGACTGTAGCTACGGGGCTAAAAGTCAGGATTGTTGTTATTTAGGGTATCATAAACCTCTGGTCCAAACTTGAGACCGATTGGATGTAACACGGCGAAATGCCAGATGGGTCGTTTTTTTTGGGACACCCTGTAGTTGTTTAGAACGCCACGAAGGTGTTCTAAGAAGTTTGTGATGATTCGCTCATATTATAATAACGAATCCACAACGCAGCCACTGTTTAAATTATTCAGGAGTGGCTAGATAGCCCTTCGAATAATCAAAAATTAGGCGTTCAGCGTAGCTTTCTCAAAATTACGAGACCCGCCAGCTGGCTTAATTTTCAGCTATGGTCAATAAGGCACAAACGCGCATGCATCCAGCTGCCGAATTATGAGACTGGTTGGTCTAGACGACTCCCCTGATTAGGAGTGTACAGTTCTGGATTTTAATTTGATTGCTTTAATTTCTGGATTAATGCTTCTTAATAAAGTTTTTCTAAAAATTTTCGCCAAGCATGAAGTATCTTCTAAAGCTTGGCTTTAAGGTTTTAATGCTCCTAGATACGAAAACACAGTCTGAATTGAAAATAAGGCCAAGAAACGTCGTATTCTGTGAAGTAGGCAAGTAGTTCACTTGAGTAGGCGGGACGACCCAAATTTCTGCACCCAAGTGACAGTATCCCGATCGGCCCTGTCGATTGGTCGCAGCTAGGACTGCGGCCCATTACTAATTCCCATTAGCAGCTCAGGTTGCTAGCAATACTGTAAACCGCTGTGTGCCGGCTATACGGTTTCATAGGCTCTAGATTCTTCATCTAGAGTCGCGCTAGCTTGCAGACCTTCAATTAATCCTGAAGCCTGTACTTTCAGAATTTGCTAGGGATTTGTAGCACTGTGATTTCTTCAGTGATCCCGTAATTCTCTCTTCCATCAGGTCCTTTTTTGTCGTAAATCCAAACTAGCGCAGGACTTAGGATTTTACTTTGCTAGCAGAGAGTTAGTAATCGATATTATCTCTAGGTTGCTGGGTTCCTAGGTCTATCATTTTTTAAAACGTTTTGTAGAATAGCTCCTTCCTAGAATCTCACCTATTCTTGAATGTTCTCTCCTAGAAAATAAATCTTCCTACTTCGGATTAAATTTCCTGGTTTATGCAAATGAGTAGTGGACCCGGCGCTCCTGGGGCCAGGTGCATATGGTACTCTAATCCCGGGGACCACCCCGAGTGATTACCAATGGGCCTACCACAACTTTAGAGCCGAAGTTAGCATAATACAATTACGTAATTAGGCTGGTCCATACTCGTCAACTTTTTCGCGTTTTTAATAGTGTATCATTTCACGACATATTCAAATTCTTTATCTCGCGATTTTCGAGCGCCATTTTGGTCTTTTCCTCGCTTTCTGCGGGTTTTTTTTATTTTAATAAAGTTTGACTGGCCGGGGCTTTATACCGATGTGATCATGTCCGGGTTAATGAGGCTTAGTGTTAAATTTTGACAGATGTTTTCGAAGATCGATATTTTTTGCGCTTTCCAACAACCTAATCATCATCCGATTAAAATTGCGTTTTGAAACGCCTAGATTTTTCGTAAACACCATTAATTTCATTGACATGTTACTGGCCCGATTAAGGCGTTCCCAACGATAAATCGCTCGATCTTTAATTTATGGCCCATGAAATTCGTCTCAAAACAGGCATTATCAATTCATCAATTCCATGTCCAAATCAACGCGGAGCCCCGTAATTCCAGCAACAAAATTGGCCCAATGTTGTGGCCGATCTCTTTGGAGACCCGATTGGAATTTGAATGAGATGTTAATGACCCCGGCCATGGCCAGCCGGAGCACCGAAAATGCGCACGTATCGTCCATAAAAAATGCCGATTGCTTGGTGACCACCCCGAAGGCCCTGGGGCTATAGGAAATGTTCGAAAAATTGGAAGCGGGGGTCGGAAAATTTGAAGATTAGTGGCTAAAGGGATTGGCAAGCGTGGTATGCGGGCACAAAAAACAAACATTGGCTTTGTCGCAAAAATGTGAGATCACTTTTGATATCGACTGCTCGGAATTTTTAACAAAAATAACCAGGATACTAGCTTTTTGTTTGTTTTGGCCTAGCATAATTACCGTACCCCTCGAGCCTTCGGTTCGAGCGTCCTCACCAGGTTTTAGCTTTCTCGCTAACTTTCAGATAGTTTTCAAACGAAGCCTAATCGTTAGAAAGACATATATTTTAAAAGCTTGCTGTATTTCTGCCAATCAGCAAATTTCTGGGCGGGATCAGGCCCCGTGATATCACGGTAGCCTGGGGGTATGGGCGCCACCCAAGGTCACTACCGTAGCACCCAATCAGGGCTGGAATAGCAAGGGACAACTCGGGAGAGATGGACTATGATAATAGATCCCAACGAAGCGCTAACCGACTAGCTTTTTTTTGCTTAGTTAGGTGTTTAAAATATTTAAGGTATACCTCTTCGGCCTTGGTGGTATTTTCGCCCTAGATCTGGCCGCAGTAATCCAATCCATACTTGGCGCGTAGAAACATCTGCCTCCGCTGCAGCCGTCTGTCGGGGGAATTTTTGCAAAAAAAGAGGATATTTTTGGCCAGAGGTCTCACAGGTCTTACTGTAGAGGCAGTTCGATTAGCTGCACAAGACATCGGTTACTAAAAAGCTACTTAGGGGCGTGGGAATCAGTATTTTTAGTTATCGCTTAGGGCTAGTTCGCGGCAAAGGCCGTTATATCGCGGTTTTGAAAATGCCAGGTCGTGTCCCAAACGTAGTCGGCCGTAGTCTCTCACCTAATTTGGCTATAACAAAAAAAAGAAAGCTGAATTTATTGAAATTTTTTATACCTTGTAACTTTCGAAAGCGTTGGCGCTAATCATACCTTTCAACCACGTGATGCCACGCTAGCGCATTTGGAATAACACAAATTAACTTTTATGCTATAAAACTACAGGTATAAGCGCGAAGAAAAATAGCACAGTAGAGAGGCCACTGTGATGAAATGATGAGCGTGTGGTACGAGCAGTGCCCTTCATTAGATCAAAACACACGACCAGACCAGATCCAGATTCCAATGCCA